TGTATCATGTATGTGTTTGTTTGTGTGTGCGTTTGTTTGTGTATGTGTGTGTGTGTGTGTGTGTGTGTGTGTGTGTGTGTGTGTGTGTGTGTGTGAGTGAGTGTGTGTGTGTGTGTGTGTGTGTGTGTGTGTGTGTGTGTGTGTGCGTGCGTGCGTGAGTGCGTGCGTGCGCGTGTGGGAAAGGGGCGGGGGAGCTACATGCTAATGAGAAAGAGAAATAAGTAAACTGTGGCGGGCCGTATTGTCACAGTGTTAACTCTCTCAAAAGTAAGTACAGGCTTATAGTTTTAACAGGCTTAGTATTTGAAAAAAAAGACTTATTGCTCGGTGCTGCAAAGGTTTTTTTGACAGCACAGAGATAAGGAAGTACGACCGTTCACTCAGACTCAGGTGAATCTTTCTTGACTGACGCTTCGTGACCGAGAATAAGAATCGTTAGCCCGTTACAAATGTAAACTCACAAAACACTGAAATAAATTGAAACAAGCAAAAGACACGTCACATGACAGAAGGGGGGAGATCTCTCCCAAAAAATAAAACTACCGCTATTCCATGCTCGAGTTTACTTCCACTTACATAAGTAACTACAGCGCTACTTTTGGCCCCTCTCGCCCGTCGTTGCTGTCTTTTGTATTATAATGAAACTTAATGGTGTTGAAAAAAAGAGCAGCACGACAATATATTACTTATTTTAATATGCCAGGCACAAATTTTTGTGATGCACAAACTCTTCTAGGGATCATAAGCTCTTTCAGAGCTAGAGTTCACCTGCGTCTTCCTTTTTCCATCTGTGTTTGCCGCTCTTCAACATATTATGCAACATTACTCAAATAAAAGATAAACATCAAGGCATTAACTACTGTTTTTTAGTGAGACGAGGTTCAGACATTGTTTCGTCGGTTATTTCGTTGCTTTCAAAGTGTGTGATGGAGACCAAAAACAAGTTACAGTATGGGGAATACCCGGTAGTGAATAGTGAATGAGTTTTCGAACGGGGGGGGGGGGGTAATTACTAGATAGATAGATAGATAGATAGATAGATAGATAGATAGATAGATAGATAGATAGATAGATAGATAGATAGATAGATAGATAGATAGATAGATAGAGCAAAAAAATACTACACAAAAACAGTTTATTAATCGTTCCGCTTTGAATCGAGGAAGTTCAGTTCGTCAGGTCAGTGTGTTGACCTACATTTCTGGCTTCGCGGAAACAAATACCTGATGTCTTAAAATAGGAACAAGGCTTCGCGGATTGTTTTGGTTAACAGCTGCGCGGAACTCACTTCTCCAGTATAAAACATTCTCGCCATCAATGCTGGTCAGTCTGAGAAAGTACAGTCACACTTATCTGAGTAAAAGGAGACGTGAAAAAAGACACTGTTCCGCTACACATTATAACGATTGTAAAGTTCTTCACCAACTTCTGGCTGAAAGTCGATATTATTATTAACTGAACCGTGAAGTAGTAATTATAATACTGAACTACAGTAGCAATAGTTTGACAGCTAACAACAGATCTACGAAAAATGTCTACTGTTGTTGATGCACCAATGCCACCCTGTGGACCCCTGGAGATTGTGTTCTCCTTTGACACCACCGGCTCCATGTACGGCTATTTAGACCAAGTCCGTGGCCGACTACAGGACATGATCCAAAGACTACAGGCGGACATACCCGCCATCAGGATAGCTGTGTTCGCTCATGGCGATTACTGCGATCATCAAACCTACGTCACAAAATGGGAAGACTTCAGCAGTGACGTAGCAAAACTGTGTTCGTTTGTCTCCAATGTGGAGCGTACCGGAGGCGGGGATGCCCCAGAGTGTTACGAGCTGGTGTTGAGGCAGGCGAGGACGGAGCTCTCGTGGACTCCCGGCTCTCGTCGTGCTATCGTCCTCATCGGCGACGACGTCCCCCACGAGGCAGATTATCACCTCAACACAGACAACATCGACTGGCGTGAGGAGATCAGACAGCTGGCGTCATGGAACGTCACCGTGTACGGTGTACAGTGTGGGAATAACCGTGACGCTTCGCCTTTCTACAAGACGATCTCCGCCGCCACTGATGGGAAACACCTACAGCTCGAGGACATGGGAGGGATTTTTGACGTCATGATGGCGGTGTGCTACAGAGAAGGGAACGACACGGCCAAGTTTGCCAACTACGAGATGGAGGCGAGGGCACGTGCTGGTGTCATCGGCCCGGATGTTGATGCTATTTTTAAATCTTTGAGGGATGAGGCTGAAGGAACATCAACGGCAGGACCGTCAGTTCCGGCTCCTTCTGTCAAACTGGCAGGAGTACCGAAGCCAGTGACGTTGAAGAGAGCCGGGTCCAGTATGGAGAAACTCACCAAGAAAAGCAGCATCCATGCTCCAAAAGCTCCTAAAGCAATGCGTCTGGTGAAGCCAAAGACATCCATGAAAACATCGACAAACAAAGCAGAACCGCCTACAGGACTGGACAAATTTAAACTGAAGAATCTTCCTCGTCTCAAGAGAGAGAATGTTCCAGAAACCAACTTTTGTCTTCGCTCTATGACCTGGACCCCCTGGGTCACCGCGTTTGTGCCGTATGTCGCAGACACCAAAATGGTCAAAGGCGATTGGGTCAAACGTTTCGGGAGACCAGGATACAGACTGACGTCACTCGCTCCGAGATCTGGACAGGACGCTTCCGGTTTGAGACTCTTTGAAGTTGCCGTGGAGACGTCCAACAAAAGACGACACGTCATGTTCTCTCGTTTCTCCTCTCGGTGTATGTCCACTCAAAAATGGCAACGTTACTTGCTCAGCTCGTGGGGCAGAAGCCAAGTGGACAATGCACTGAGCCAGGGATGTCGAGTGATGGTGAGACACTGTCTCCTTGAGGGAAAATCTCAAGCGTCCAGTGTGAAGAAAGACATCAGGAGATACGACTACGCTTGGAGTCAGGCCGGTGGTGGAGTGAGAGCTGTGGTCAGACGGGACACTACACTCTCACAGGTTTAGATAAAACCGTTGAGGAGAACATTACGTGATATTACACTTTGGTTTATTCTGTGTTCATGTAACAATTTAACATTGTTACGTTTTCTCTGTATCAAGTATGTAAATAGTGTAAAGATTGTTTGAAGTCTAAAACTATGACTTTTCTATGGTTGTTGCAATGCATCTCATTTTATTCTCCCAAAACCAGCATATTGTTGAATATTGTATAAACGTATAACATACTTTGGGACCCACGCTTTGAAACTATACAATTTTTGTTTTCTTAAATTACATTTTTGTTGTGTAATGTCTGGTTGATAATTATATTGTTGTCATCCTCACTCTGCTGTTTTACCAAAAATGCATTCAATTTTTATAAATGTTTGGCTGTTTTGCTTTTAGATGAACATAATAAAATGAATTAAAAGGTATAACTTGTTCAAAGAAAAGGGTTTCTATTGTTCATAATATAGTTATCTTAGTAAGACTTTTCTGTTGTCAACAATGTAGCACTGTATTCCTTTAGAAAATCTGCTTTTTTCCTTTAAGTATTGTCAAATCAATGGACTGTACTAGAATCCTCAAATTGAGTCAGTTTCACAATAATCTGAAACAGGCCTGCATGAAGTATCAGGGAGGTTTGTGGTCATTAGTTTTGTGAGGTACCAGTACTCTTGTATACGTGCTATGTGTGCATTCTGCCAAGATAAGGTACACATGATAAAAATGTAGGAGGAAAAATGATCGCCAAATTACTTTCCGCTTTCGATGAAACGGAGCGTTGAGCGAGAAAACCGATCTCTACACATTCAACTTCGGATTTCCACGAGGTCACTTAATGCTCTTGTGCCCTCAACTGAAGGTTGTGGGCTCAATTCCCATCAAGGGCCTGGTGTTGTGACACATTTCTTTCGAAAAGGCACTTTGCACGAATTTTCTTCACATGACCCAAGTGAGAATGGGTACTTATCGTCAGTTTGTTAGTGTTTCAGCGCGCGTCATCAGCAGCTTGCACTTTTAATTAATATCCACACACGGAAGGAATGAACAACGCTTGCAAGCTGTTTAAACACACTTAGGCCAGAAAGCAATTGTTCAGGAGAAAAAGGAAGGAAATTGTTTTAATGTTTTGAGTACAATTAAAACTGAATCTTTTTCTTTCTTCCTTTTTTGTTTGTTTTCTTTTGTTTTGTTGTTGTTTTTTACAACACAGAATTTGAATTTCGACAAAACGTTTCTTGAACACAGGCAACCAATATATTGGGAAAAATAAAACTTGAAAATTTTGGGCTTAGTACAGTTTAACTGTTTTCTGATGACAAGATAATAGTAAGGAAGTAATTTCTTTTTTCTCCTCGACTTTTCCCATTCGGAGAAGGTGCATCCCCCACCCAAAAAAAGCACCATCTCTTAGCCCACCTTTTCCTGTTACAATAGATTAGATCTACACCTAAGTCATGAGACCTTTCGTGATCCTCACTGGACTGACCCACTATGCGCCCATGACGCACGTACCCGTCTGTTTATTATAGAATCTTGCCTGTGGCTTGTTTGATGTACCGACATCATGTCCTCACTGTGTTTGCTTGAAAATAAGAAATTTGAAGCGAGAAACGATAGCACCGACATGACACTATTGTAAGCAAACCGTAGAAACTTGTGGATTTGTTTGACAAGCCCCAGGGTTCTACATGGGATAGCAGTAGAATATCAATCAACTGCATTTGTTACGTGGAATATTTGGCGGATGCTTCTTACTTGTTGTGAAAATACATTTTATGAATAAAAGGTATAACTTTTATACGTATAAGAATGCTTCAGAAGACCAAATGATGGGGCAAGCTTTGCCTGCTACACTCATATTCACTCACACACACACACACACACACACACACACACACACACACACACACACACACACACACACACACACACACACACACACACACACACACATATATATATAGATATAGATATAGATATAGATATATATATATATATATATATATATATATATATATATATATATATATATATATATATATATATATATACGCACTCACACACAAACAAACGCACACACAAACATACGCAAACGCACACAGCCACTAAAACGCACACATACACACATACAAGCACACACGCGAGCGCACGCGAGCGTGCATAAAAAAAAACAACTATCCATTTTAAAACATCTCTATTAATTGGACGATTTGAACTTAGGCCGTGCACAAAGAAGTCCATGGTTGTACAAATTAAAGTGAATGACACATTGCAATTAGCAAAAAGGGGGGGGGGGGGGCTGGGTGTTATTGTGCGTTTTATATCATATTTTGATGGTAACAATGAAAGAATTCTACCATCAGAAATCACTGAAATCTGACGTTGACAGACCAAAAGTTCAAACGACCATAAAAAACTGGTGGGTGCCAGTTCGTCACTCTCAAAGTTTGAATGAATTCCGAAAGGGAAAAATGCGAACAAAAACATGTAAAGAAAAAGCATTCACCTAAATATGTAAACCATATATAAATTTATGTGTGGGTGTGTGTATGTGTAAGTGTAAGTGTGTGTTTGTGTGCGTGTGTGTGTTTGTGTGTGTGTGTGTGTGTGTGTGTGTGTGTGTGTGTGTGTGTGTGTGTGCGTGCGGGCGTGAGTGCGTGTGTGCATGCATTAGTGTGTGTGTGGGGTGGGGGGGAGGTCGGGGAGAGAGGGGGTGCTTCATGATATGAGAAATAAGTAATTTTAAACTGTGGCTGGCCGTATTGTCACAGAGTTAAATCCCTACTCAAAAGTAAATACAGACTATAGTTGTAGCAGGCTATTACTATTATCAGTAGGCCTACATGTAGGACATTATTGCTCAGTATCGCAAAGACTTTTACGCTGCTAACACGTTGTGGTAATTTTTTTTTTTTTGACAGCACAGAGTTAACGAGGTCAACCGTTCACTCAGATAATGCATATATCTTTCTTGACTGGCGCTTCGTGACTGAGAGTAAGAATAATTAGCCCGTTACAAAAATGAACTCACGAAACACTGAAACTTGAAACAAGCAAAAGACATGTCACATGACTCAAGGTGGGAGATCTCTCCTAAAAAAATTAAAACTACCGCCATTCCATGCTCCTAGTAGTCCTAGTTTACTTCCACTTACATTAGTAACTACAGCGCTACTGGTGGCCTCTCTCGCCCGTCGTTGTTGTCTTTTGTTTTATATGAAATATATAATGGTGTTAAAAAAGAGCAGTACGACAATATTTTACTTTTTTAAATATATGCCAGGCACACAGTTTTGTGATGCACTAACTCTTCTAGAGATCACATAAGCTCTTGAGCTAGAGTTCACTCGTGTCTTCCTTTTTCCATCCGTGTTTGCCGCCCTCTAACATGTTATGCAACATTACTCAAACAAAAGATAAAACTTAAGGCCTTAACTGGTTTGAGTGAGGCGCAATTCAGACATTGTTTCGTCGGTTGTTTCGTTGCTTTCAAGGTCTGTGATGAAGACCAAGAAAAAGTTACAGTATGGGGAATACCCGGTAGTGAATGAGTTTTCGAACGGGGGAGGGGGGGGGGATTAAAAAATAGATAGATAGATCGATAGATAGATCGATAGATAGATCGATAGATAGATAGATAGATAGATAGAAAGATAGATAGATCGATAGTTAGATAGATCGATAGATAGTTAAGCAAAGGTAAATACTACACAGAAACAGTTTATTAATGGTCCCGATGGAACTCGGGGAAGATTAGTTCATCAGGTCAGTGTGATGACCTATATTTCTGGCTTCGCGGAAACAAATACCGGATGTCTTAAAATAGCAACAAGGCTTCGCGGATTGTTTTGGTTAACGGCTGCGCGGAAATCACTTCTCCGGTATAAAAGCTTCGCGCCACCAAAGCTAGTCAGTCTGAGAAAGTACACTTAGATCTATCTGAGTAGAAAAAGACAGGAAAAAAGACACTGTTCCTCTAAACGTTATTACGATTGTCAAGTTCTTCACCAACTACTAGCTGGAAGTCGTTATTAGCTGGACCGTGAAGTAAATTATTTTAACGCTAAATAGTATAATATAATAATCTGCTGAAATGTCTGCTTGCGTTAATGCACCAATGCCACCATGTGGACCCCTGGAGATTGTGTTCTCCTTTGACACCACCGGCTCCATGTACGGCTATTTAGACCAAGTCCGTGGCCGACTACAGGACATGATTCAACGACTACAGGCGGACATACCCGCCATCAGGATAGCTGTGTTCGCTCATGGCGATTACTGCGATCACCAAACCTACGTCACCAAATGGGAAGACTTCAGCAGTGACGTAGCAAAACTGTGTTCGTTTGTCTCCAATGTGGAGCGTACCGGAGGCGGGGATGCCCCAGAGTGTTACGAGCTGGTGTTGAGGCAGGCGAGGACGGAGCTCTCGTGGACTCCCGGCTCTCGTCGTGCTATCGTACTCATCGGCGACGACGTCCCCCACGAGGCAGATTATTACCTCAACACAGATAACATCGACTGGCGTGAGGAGATCAGAGAGCTGGCGTCATGGAACGTCACCGTGTACGGTGTACAGTGTGGGAATAACCGTGACGCTTCGCCTTTCTACAAGACGATCTCCGCCGCCACTGATGGGAAACACCTACAGCTCGAGGACATGGGAGGGATTTTTGACGTCATGATGGCGGTGTGCTACAGAGAAGGGAACGACACGGCCAAGTTTGCCAACTACGAGATGGAGGCGAGGGCACGTGCTGGTGTCATCGGCCCGGATGTTGATGCTATTTTTAAATCTTTGAGGGATGAGGCTGATGGAACATCAACGGCAGGACCGTCAGTTCCGGCTCCTTCTGTCAAACTGGCAGGAGTACCGAAGCCAGTGACGTTGAAGAGAGCCGGGTCCAGTATGGAGAAACTCACCAAGAAAAGCAGCATCCATGCTCCAAAAGCTCCTAAAGCAATGCGTCTGGTGAAGCCAAAGACATCCAAGAAAACAGCGGCAAACAAAGCAGAACCGCCTACGGGACTGGACAAATTTAAACTGAAGAATCTTCCTCGTCTCAAGAGAGAGAATGTTCCAGAAACCAACTTTTGTCTTCGCTCTATGACCTGGACCCCCTGGGTCACCGCGTTTGTGCCGTATGTCGCAGACACCAAAATGGTCAAAGGCGATTGGGTCAAACGTTTCGGGAGACCAGGATACAGACTGACGTCACTCGCTCCGAGATCTGGACAGGACAGTTCTGGTTTGAGACTCTTTGAAGTTGCTGTGGAGACGTCCAACAAAAGACGACACGTCATGTTCTCTCGTTTCTCCTCTCGGTGTATGTCCACTCAAAAATGGCAACGTTACTTGCTCAGCTCGTGGTGCAGAAGCCAAGTGGACAATGCACTGGGCCAGGGATGTCGAGTGATGGTGAGACACTGTCTCCTTGAGGGCAAATCTCAAGCGTCCAGTGTGAAGAAAGACATCAGGAGATACGACTACGCTTGGAGTCAGGCCGGTGGTGGAGTGAGAGCTGTGGTCAAACGGGACACTACACTCTCACGGGTTTAGAGAGGACCACTGAGAACATTACCTGATATTATACTTTGGTTTACTCTGTGTTCATGTGACAAATTATAATTTTTACTTTTTGCTTCAAATGTCAGGATCTTTCAATTGTCATTAATGAAGAGGGAAGAGAAACAGCAACCATGACATGAGACGGCCAGACTGCGTCAATGCCAAGAACAAATTCTATGTTCTTAACTTAACCCTTTATTATAATGTATGTAAATATTGTAAATATTTTTTAAAAGTCTAGATCTAAATATTTAGGCTATATAGGGCCTATGACCTTTCTATGGTTGTCACAATACACCCCATTTTATTCCTCAAAACCAGCTTAGTGTTGAATATTGTAAAATATGTAAAATAGTTTGCTAGTTAACTTCGGGACCCAAGGTTGGAAATACAACTTGATTTCTCAATTACGTTTTTTGTTGTTTTTTTTATTGTTTGATGTCTGGACGATAATTATTGTTGTCATCCTCAACTCTTTTGTTTTACCAAATGCATTTAATTACAAGTTATAAATGTTGAGCTTTTTTCCTTTACATGAATATAATAAAATGAAATAAATGATATAACTTGTTCAAAGAAAATGGTTATTATTGTTGATAATATCTAAGACTTTTGTGTTGTCAATAATGTAGCACTTTATTCATTTACAAAGTTTTGGTTTTTCCCCCTTTCCTTTAAGTTTAGTAAAATCATTGGTTGGTTTTAGGGTCCTTCTCAAATTCAGTCAGTTTCACAATGATCTGCACCTGGCCTGCATGAAGTATCAGAGAGGTTTGTGGACATTAGTTTTGTGAGGGACCGTACTCTTGAACACGTGATGTACATTCTACCAAGATAAGGTACGGACATGATAAAAACTTAAGGTAATGAGAAATGATCGCCAAATTACTGAGCGCTTTCTACGGAACACAACACTGAACGAGAAAACTAATCTCTACACACTCAAACTCGGATTTCCACGAAGTCGCTTACGCGCTTGCACTCTGAACTTAAGGTATGGGTTCCAATCTCGTCAAGGGCCTGATGCTGTGATGTCTTAAGAAAAGGCAGTTTGCACAAATATTCTTCACATTACCCAGGTGGGAATGGGCCCTTATTGTCAGTTTGTTAGTGTTTTAGTGCAAGTCATCAGCAGCTTGCACTTGAAAAGGAAGGATGAACAACGCCAGCAAGCTGTTAAAATGTACTAGGCCAAGAAAGCAAGTTTTTCAGGATAGAGGACAGAAAATTATTTTATTCTTAATTATTCGTGAACCATGTTTTTTTCCTTGCTTGTTTCAACACATAGAATTTGAATTTCGACTAAACATTTCTTGAACTCAGGCAACCAATATATAGGGGGGGAAAATTTTGAAAATTTTGGGCTTAGTACATTTTAACTGCTGGTCGACGACAAGATAATAGGAAGGAAGTAATTTCTTTTTCCTCCTCGAATTATCCCATTCCCCCCCCAAGAAGGCCCCCCCCCCCCCCCCCCCAACAAAAAAAAAAAAACACATCTCTTAGCCCACCTCCTCCTGTTACAATAGATTACACCTCAATCAAGAGACCTTTCCTGATCCTCACTATGCGCCCATGACACACGTACTAGTCTGTTTAGTATAGAATCTTGCCTGTGGCTTGTTTGATGTACATAAGTACCGAGATCACATCCTCACTGTGTTTGCTTGAAAATAAAACAGTTGAAGTGAGAAACGATAATGCCGACAAGACACTGTTGTAAACAAACCGTAGAAACCTGTGGATTTGTTTGCCAAGCGCCCAGGGCTCTACATGTGATAGCAGTAGAATGTAAATCAGCTGCATTTGTTCAGTGGAATATATGACGGAAACTTCCTACTTTGTTGTGAGAATACATTTTATGAATAAAATGTACTTATAAGGATGCTTCAGAAGACCAAATGATGGGGCAAGCCAAGTCTGCTACACGTATATTCACACACACACTCTCTCTCTCTCTCTCTCTCTCTCTCTCTCTCTCTCTCTCTCTCTCTCTCTCTCTCTCTCTCTCTCTCTCTCTCTCTCTCTCTCTCTCTCTCTCTCTCTGTGTCTCTCTCTCTCTCTCTCTCTCTCTCTCTCTCTCTCTCTCTCTCTCTCTCT